CTCCAAAGAATTAAAAGAATCATACCACAGTGATATATGTGCACCCATGTTCATAACAGCACAATTTGTGATAGGTAAAACCTGGAAACAACCCAAGTGCCCATCAACTGGAGATTGGATAAAGAAAATGTGGGTTTTAGGGGCCAGGGATTTAGCTCAGTGGTTCTGGCACCTGCCTTGCAAGCACAAGGTCCCTATTTTGATTCCCAGCACCAAAAAAAAAAAAAGAAAGAAAATGTGGCGTTTTTTTATAAAATGGAGTACTACTCAGCCATAAAAAATGAGAAATTAGAGACATTTATAGCTAAGCGGTGATAGTACCATTTATAGCACATTGAGGTGATACTCAAGTGAAATAAATAGGACACACATGTGAAAATACGAGTAGTTTCTCTAGTGTGAGAAACTGAAAGTGTAAATAAGGACTGAAAGGTATAATAGATAATGTGAAATGGGAAGAAAATGTGCAAAGGGTAAGGGAAAGTGGGAGGCATAGGGGAAAAGAAAGAAGGGGATGGAATTAACATGAGAAAAAGAAAAAATGGAAACAAAGTCTTTGTAGACTGGGAAGGGTGGAGGGGTTGAAAGGAGGGCAAGGAAATGGGGAAAAAATAAGAACCAAGATGGATGAGGTGCAAATTTGAAATGATGAATGTCATTATATTGTATACCTTAAATGTACCAATAAAATTAATTTTTAAAAAAGAAGTTTGTATTTTCTTTGCACTTACTTAAACATGTTCTCTGAGCTAGTATGTGGTCTATTTTGGAGAACAACCCCTGTGCAGCTGAAAAGAATGTGTATTCTGATTTTGTGGGGTGGAACAGTCTGTAAACATGTTAAGTCCATTTGTTCAAGAGTTTGATTGAGTTCTAGCATGTCGTTGCTTATTTTTTGTCTAGTTGATCTATCTGTTTGTCACAGTGGGGTATTGAGGTCCCTCACTACTATTGTATTAGTGCTTATTTGATTTTTCATGTCCATTAGTATATGTTTTATATAGTTCGGTGCACTAGTATTTGGTGCATAGATATTTATGATTGTCATCTCTTCCTCTTGGATTTTTCCCTTTACAAGGATGTAGTGTCCTTCTTTGTCTCTCTTAATCAGTGTTGGTTTGAAATCCACTTGATCTGCAAAGAAGATTGCTACTCCTGATTTTTTTCTTATAAAAAAATGTTCAACATCACTGGCATTCGAGAGATGCAAATGAAAACAATGCTGAGATTCCACCTCACTACAAAAGAATGGCTGCTATCATGAAATCAACCAATAACAAATCCTGGCAGGACTGTGGAGAAAAAGGAACCCTGCTCCACTGTTGGTGGGAGTGTAGACTGGTGCAACCACTGTGGAAATCAGTATGGAGATACCTCAAAGAATTAGGATTAGAGGTCCTGTTTGACCCAGCTATTCCCCTACTGGGTTATCTTCCCAAAAGAATTAAAAGATAAATCTGCACCCACCTTCATAGCAGTACAGTTTGTAATAGCTAAAACTTGGAAATAGCCCAATTGCCCTTCAACTGGAAACTGGATAAAGAAAATTGTGTGTGTGTGTGTGTGTGTGTGTGTGTGTGTTTTAGTAAAATTGAGTACTACTCAGCCATAAGAATGAGAAGTTAGCTAAATGGATGCACATTGAGGTCATCCTCTTGAGTGAAATAAATAGGACACACATGTGTAAATACCTAATAGTTTCTCTGGTGTGAGAAACTGAAAGTGTAAATAAGGACTAAAGGTATAGTAGATAATGTGAAATAGGAAGAAAAGGTCCAAAGGGGAAGGGGAAGTGGGAGGGATTGGAGGAAGGAATGAAGGGAATGAAATTAATATGAGAAAAGAAAAAAATGGAAACAAAGTCTTTATAAATATGGAGGGGTGGAGTTGAAGGGAGGGCAGGGGAATGGGGAAAAAATAAGAACCGAGAGAGATTATGCAAAGATACAAATTTCCATCGATGAATGTCATTATATTTTATACCTAAAATGTACCAATAAAATTAATTTTAAAAAAAGAATTTGATATAATAAAAAAGAAGTTTGCACTTTCTTCTATACCTCTTTTTACATCTATAAAGCTTAATTCCATTGGAGTTTTCCTGGAAATATAACAAGCAGGATTTACACAAAGCAGGCCAATAAAGAAGGGGAGAACAAAGAGTTTTGGTAGGACTTTCTGAATCCGTTAAGCTCCTTTGTTGACAGATAACAAAAGTTGTCATGGCTACTCAGGTACATTGTATAAAGAACATAGTTATCTAGTTAACCCATAGTTGCCTAATAACACAGTTAACCCGTAGTAGGCTAATAACACAGTTAACTCATAGTTGCCCAATTCCACATGGAAGGGTGGTCTCCTCTCCCAATACAAGACCTCAAACTGTCAAATTTCTATGCAAAAACCTAGGGAAAGTTTCTCCTTGTTCATCTTATTGACAATGGTTTTGAATAAAACACCAAAAACATGGGCAACAAGAGCAAAAATAAACATATGGATGGCAACAAACTAAAGAGCTCTGTGCATCAAAGGAAATAATCCACAAAATGAAAAGACATCATTCAGAATGGGAGAGAATATTTGAGAACCACATCTGACAGTGTGTTAAAATTACTCAGACAATGGGCAAAAAGAGTTGAAAAGATATTTTCCCAAGTGAGATATATAGATAACCCAGAGGTATGGAAAGATCCTCAAAATCACTAATGCTCCTAGATGCAAATTCAAAACCTCCAAGATTTGTCTCTGTGCACCGGTTAGCCTATTGTAAAAAAGACAAGGGAACAAATGTTGGTGAGTGAGTGGATAAAAGTTTATGGATCTGGCTGGAAGTGGTGGCACACGCCTGTAATTCCAGCACTTGAGAGGCTGAGGCAGGAGGACCACTGCGTGTTTAAGGGCTGAGTAGACTACATAGTGAGTTCAAGGCCTCTACATAGCAAGACTCTGTCTCAAAAAATATATATAAATAAACAAAGTTATGGATCCTTATACACTGTTAGTGTCAAGGCACATTGATACAGCCATTATGGAAAATAATATGGAAGTTCCTTAAAACACAGCTATTGGAATTGCCACATGACCCAGCAAGCCCACTCTGTGTATACATCTAAAGGAACTGAAATCACACAGTCTGGAAAGATTTCTTCACATTAATGTTCATTGCAAGTTTATTCCCATTAGCCAAGGTATGAAAATGGTCCAAGTGTCATTTAGAATGAAAGAATAGATTTTACCATTGATCTATACATGATTAAAAATACTCACATTATGAAACTCTTAGAATTTCAATACATGGACATATAAACTTTTTTGGGCAAGTTAACCAGCAGAGCTGCTCATCACTGATGCTTTGGCATCTCTCTCAGGCCTTCTCTCTGCCTCCTTCAGCCTGTCTGTCTCTCTGTTTCTCATATACAGATTCATTAGCGTATATATATGTGTAGATTTACATCATAGATCCGTCATTCAAAAAATGAGATCCTTCCTACAGACATCCTCCACATATCGTGTATCATTTTCACATTCACAGTTTCCTTGGCTACTTTCCCTATGGGGCCAGATAGAGCCACCCGAATAGCTGCATATCATTTTTTTTTTGGTACTGGGGATCGAACTCAGGTCCTTGAGCTTGCGCAGTAGATGGCGAAACCACAGAGCTAAATCCCCGGCCCAGCTGCATATCATTTTGTCAGACACGTGGCCTATACATGGATGTTATGGAAGGTTCCAGACGCTGCCTACTTCAAACAAGGATATGAATGTGAACAGTAGCCTTGAAAAACAAGTCTTGAAAAGGTGTGTTACTGTGTATGTGAGAAGAATCCCTAACATTAGCTATGCAACATAAAGGAACACCTGTTTTAAAACCTGAAGAGTGAGGTGTGGTGGCCATGCCTGTAATCCCACCACTCAAGAAGCTGAGGCAGGAGGACTGACATGAGTTTGAGGCCAGCCTAGACTACATAGTGAGATGCTGTCTCAAAAATAAACCAAAAAGGAAACAAAACAAAAAAAGTCGAATGAGCTGCCACACAGCTCTTTGAGAGAAGTATCCATGACCATGTCTTCCAGAGGACCTACCAGGCCTGCTGCCGTCCATGTGCTTACCAGTTAACAGAACTCCAGACTTAAAATGTAGGGCTGAGGATTTAGCTCAGTGGTTCTGGCACCTGCATCACAAGCGCAAGTTCCCGAGTTCGATCCCCAGTACCAAAAAAAGAGAAAACAAACAAAAAACCCCCAAACAAACAAACTGGAAATAAGCAGACTTAAAATATATTAGTCTGAAAAGGACAGATGATATTTCAGTAATATGTCCCTCTGTTGTGTCATTGCAGATTGATCATTGTATAACTTCTCTGGCCTTGATGAGATTCCCTTTCGCATTACAGGAGTGTGTCTTTAATCCCACTAAACTGATAGCTTTTTAAGTGTTCACTGTAGCCCTGGGATATGGATCCTCCGAGATGGTGTGGGTTCTAAGGGACACATTTCTCATTGTGATTTGTTGTTATAAGTGTTCACATTGTTCTTGTTTTTGTTTTTCCTGCAAAAAAGTCAGCCATTTCCCTGTAGTTTCTATCACCGAAGTCATAGACTAGCAACTCCACCGACCCCCCCAAAGATGAATATATCCATTATGGGGCTTTGCTTTTTACCTATAAACTGTGGACTATTTCCCCTTCTAACCAAAACTAAGATGAATCAGGTCCCTCAAATACTGTGTGGCCAACGAGAAATTTGATTGGACTGATGTGAAAAAAATCCAGACTAGGTAAATCACGGGGAAAGAGAGATGACCGGTAGCCAGGAACTGGCACAGGGCAGAGGTGAGGGACTGCACTGTATGGGCACAAAAAAGAGGAAGATGTTCTGGTACTGGACAGTCGTGGAAGTTGCACAACATTGCGAATGTTCTTGATGCCACTGACCTGACCATCACAAAAAACTAACTCTGAGATTATATTTGAAATTAATATATTTATAGAAAACTGGGAATTAAAGGTATGAGTAAATATAACAGTAACTGCAACAGCCAAGGAGCAGAAGGGTGGCTGTGCAGCAGGAGCTGGCCACAGGTGGTGGTCAGGAGTGACATCAGCTGTGGAACAAGGGACCCCAGGTATGGAGCTGGTGGAGAAGTGGTTCTTGTTGCTGGTTCTCATTTCAGTGCTAGAGCTGGTGAGGGAGCTGCAGGTAGAGCTGACACCGGCTCTGCGGTGGGACTTGAGCTTGGGCTGCAGCTGGCCCTGCAGTTAGAAGAGAAAAGATCACCAACTGTCCATGTTCCTTCCACGAGACAGCTCTGTCTGCCAGTCCAACCCAGGAAATAGTCCTGATGTATGCCCCCACTGACTGGGCCAACAGAGCAGGTGGAAGCCCTTTTTACCTGCTCAGCCCATCCTGTCCCAGGTGCCCACAGGCACATACCCTGGTCCTCTCACCCTTGCTCTCTTCCTCAGTGGGGTTGGGGATGCTACAGCTGAGTCAGAGGACAGTGGGCTGGGAGGTCCACCTGGGTGTGCATCTCCAGCCAGGAGTTGAGGAGGAAGGAGACAACCCTGGGGAAAGACAAATGGGTAACAGAGTGTGAGGTCTCATCTTTGTACCGGACTGCCTACCTTTAATGTAGCAATCTTGGTCTAGACAACCCTGAGGGGATGACAGAAGGCTCCTTGGGTGGAGACCTGGATGAATGGTGTGACCACCTCTCCCTTCTTCAGAGAAGCGTGGCACCCATCACTCTGCCTCTGCTCACTGGCATGTGGCCTCTGTGCAGAAAGGGAGGGGTGTCTGCAGTGGGATTGGGTTTGTGAGCACAGGGCATGTGCTGCATGCAAGTCTGAGAAGTGAGAGCTAAGGGAGAGCATGTCCTGCCCAGCTACCCCTTATTCTTTGGCTCTTTTCTCTGCCCAGTTCTCTGTTTGTCCTCTGGGTTCCTTTCTCCATGCTTGCATTCATATCTGGGGAGGTCAGGAGACTCTCACACCCACCATTCTGTGGGCAGTATCTGCTGTTCTGTCTCGGGTGACTGTTTAGCCCCCAACTAGCATAGGAGCCCAAGAGGGCATCGGTTGCCCCCTTGGTCACTGGATCATGAACAGTGCCTAGATTACATAGTGGGAATTCATGCATATGCTTGGAAGAAAGACATAGTCAGCTTCTCTCAAGATATTGGAGTGGGCCTGGTCCCCCTGCCAGCCCCTAGGGACACCTGCTTTGTATGAACCCCATGGAGTGACTCTCCAATCTCCTTTACAATGAAGACAATAGCTTTGCCCAAGTGAGGGATTCAATGGGGGGGACACAATGCTTCCCTGTAGGGAAGGGAGATCATCCATGAGAATAAGCACAGCCGTTGCAGCAGGTCTTCCACAGGACCAAGGTCAGGGCCAGTGTTTGCCTTGGAGACCCCACTTCCTCCTACATTGATCCAGTGGGCTTGGCCTGTGAGCACTGCACTGTTCAGACTCACACAGAGGCATGGGGACATTCCCAGGACTCAGCTGCAGAGGGCGACACTCACCTTCCCATCATCTTGGCCTGTTGGGCGAAGGTGCAGGGCCTGGTGGTGCTCGGGAAGGAGGGACCAAGGAAGGTTTGGCTTTCTGGGAAAGCTGGCATCAGAGGCTCTGTGAGGGAGTGCAGCGTGACTGCTTGCCCCAGCCAGACTAGCGAGTCTTCTGCCAGGCTCCCAGCGTAGTGATTTCCAATCTATGGGGCAACGGTGGGGACACATGGAGTCAGTAGCCAAACCCTGAGGCAACAGAAGGGTTGCAGGTTGAAGCTTACTCCAAACTCCAAATTGCTTAGTGACTTTTGCCTCAAGACAGACAGGAGAGCCTTAGCACAAATGTGGTTTTCAGAGTTAAAAGTTAAATTTCAGAAGGAAACTGTGAGAAATATTACCATTTCTGGGCCAGTTTCTTAGCCAAGGAGAGGTGGCAACTGCCAGCATAAAGAGCATCAATCTGTGTTAGCCAAGACAATGTCCCTTTGTAGAGATGAGAACACAGATGCTGGTCCCCTGTGGGTGGGCCCTTATGTGAAAACACCCAGGATGTTCCCTGGGGTGCCATTGAAATGGCCCCAGGCCAGAATCAAGTCGAGGTCTCTTAGCATGAAGAGCTGGATGGTCTCAGTCACCAGCTGTCCTCTGCAATGTGGTTCAAGTCAGAAAGACCCAGCTCCTGACCTGTAGGACCCAGGGTATTGGTCTTTGAGATAGCAAGTGACAGAGAAATGGACAGAATAGGAAGAAGTCCTGATGTGTTTGGTGAACACAGCTCTGGAAATCTCATGATGAGTAAGAGTTGGTGAAGGAGTGGAAGGACAGTCAGGCCAGTGCCACATGGACACTGAGGTGCAGGAGTTAAAATGATATGAAGTGGAAGAACACAAATCATCATAAGAAGTGAAGTGGTAGAATATCAAAATCCATTCTCCTATGTCCCCAAAAACATGTGGACAGTGACCTTGCCCCTAGGCAGATAGTGGGCCTGGGCAGAGAAGAATCGCATGTGGGAGGACATGAGGCCCAGATTTCAGTGGGTTTGGTGTCTACCCATTCCTGGAATGAGGTGTCAATGCTGGTATGCAGTGCCAGGGCATTTATGGTTCCTCTCTAATGCCACAGGAGATGTCTCCCCTATTTCCACCATTACCCATGGCGAGCTGGCCCTTGTTGGCATTTCAGAGCCCCAAAGTCTTGTGCAAGAAAATGGCATGAGAGACTCCAGTGACATACTGCAATCCAATGTGCTCTGTACAGGTGTGTGTCCATCCACTAGCGGGAAGCATCAGCCCCTGGCAGCCCATCATTTGGGATGTTTATGACCCCAGTGACCTTTTGTATCCCAGATCACACATTTACCTGTGTTACAGGATTCTACCCTGGTAGGAGAGGAAATGACTGTGGGGGCTGTGGATTAACACCAGACACTGGACCTGCTGACCTGCCAGGCCTCTCCTGGGCATGAATGCAACAGGACAGCAGGCACGAAACATCCCAGCAGCTACTCCTGCCAGGAAAACTAACCCTTATAGTCCCAGTCCCCCCACATCCAGAAAGAAGTGCTGGAGTTGTACAGGGAACTCACAGTGGTGTCCAGGCCAGAGTGGACGTGTGTTGGGCTTCCTGGTGTCTCTCGGTGGCTGGTGGACAGGCCGGGGAGGACCTTGTCTGGGTTCATTACTGTCTCTGAGCACCGTATTGACAGCCCAGAGAAGACCTTTCCTTTTTCTGTCTTTGATCGCCTGGAGACTAACTCTGGGAAGACCTCCTCAGGAATGACCTCCTTTGGGCTCCTGTGTGTTTGTTGGAGCCTCATGGCCAGGCCTGGGAAGACCTCCTCTCGAAAGACTTCCCCTGGGCTCCTAGGTCTTGGGGTGTTTCTCATGCCCAGGCTTGGAAAAACCTCCTCTGGGAAGACCTCCCCTGGGCTCCTAGGTCTTTGTGGGGACCAAATGGCTAGGCCAGGGAAGACCTCCCATGGGAAGACTTCCCCTGCACTACTCAGTGACTCTGGGCTACTGTCACCTGGACCGTTGGTGTCAAACCTTGCGGTCTCTGGGCTCCTGGTTGTTGGCTCTGGGGAGACCTGCCCAGAGCTAGGTGGTATCTCTGAGCACTGGGTGGCTGGGCCTGGTGAGACCTGCCTTGGTCTCCTTGGTGTCTTTGTGCCCTGAGGAGTTGGGCCTAAGGAGGCTTCTCCTGTGTTCCTCGATTTTTCTGTGTGACTGGTGGTCAGGGCTGAGGAGACCTTTACTGGGATCCTTGCTTGCTTTGGGCCCCTGGTAGCAGGGCCTTTGCAGATCTTCCCTAGGTCCCTTGGAGTCTTTTGGTGCTTGGAAGCTGGGCCTAAGGAGACCTGCTCTTGGCTCTTTAGTGTCTTGGGGTGCCTAGTGCCAGGCCCTGGGGAGACGTTTCTTGGGCTTTCTGGGATCTTCCTGATTCTGGCGGGTGAGCTTCGGGAGACTTGCCCCAGGCTCCTTGGTGGCTCTGGGTTCGTGGTAGTCATGCCTGGGGAGACCTGGCCTGGGTTTTCCCTGATGGTTGAGAGGCTCCTGCAATGTGGCCTGAAGCGTCTAGATGGAGTGAACCATCTTCTAAGTCGTTCAAAGATGCTTTCTCTGCCTGAAGTCCTGTGGCTCTTGCCTTGAGAAGTTGAGAAGCAGCTCAGCATGTTTACTGTTCACTGACTCTGGAAAAGTGAGCTCTGGAGGTATCTGTCACTCTACTGTGTTGCATGCTCACAAAGGGCTCCAAGTTCCATTTGACATGTTGCCAAGGAAGTGAGGTCATGTCTTGGGTCCACAACCTGAGCATTCCCTCTGATAAGAAGACCCTATGGCCCATCTTTATATTCATAGTGAAACCAATTGATGGCTGATTTCCTTAATATTATTATTTTTATCTAGGCATCTATCTTTCTAGGATGTACATTTGTAGTACTGAGCATTGAACCCACTGAGTTGTACTGAACTATATTACATCCCCAGACTGTTTTTTTCAGACACTCAGTAAGGGTCTCACTAAATCACTTAACTGAGCTTGTTAATGGGTTTGGTGGTGCATGCCTGTAATCTCAACACTTGGGAGGCTGAGGCAGGAAGATTACCATGAGTTCGAGACCAGCCTGAACTGCAAAATAGACACTGGCTCAGAAAAAAAAAAGAAAGAAAGAAAACAAAAAAGAAAAAGAAGAAAAACTTTAATTGGGCATGTTAGTCTCCACCTTTTGATCTTCCTGCCTCAACCATCCAGAATGCTGGAATTATTGTCATGTACCCCCCTGCCTGATTCAGTGTGCTACTGGGAAGCAGCAAAAGAAAAACTAAGCATGTTTCTCTGATTTTTCTTGTTTTGTTTTTGGTACAGGGGATCGAACTTGAGTCCTTGCGCCTTCGAGGCAGGCAGAGGAACCACTGAGCTAAATTCCCGGCTCCCAAGTTTCTCTCATTTTTAACCACTGGTGCCATTTTAACTTTTAATGCAGCATATATGCATTGAGACTTTGGTATGTAGCAGGCACAATACTAAAGGGTCTTTTCCATAGAAAGAATCATTTTCGCTGAATGTGAGGTGCTGGCATTTACATTTAGAGAGGTGTGAAATTTTAGAATGCTTTTGTTATCTGGCTTGATTGTATCATTTTCATTTAAATGGTGAAAGTTGAGACCCTCTAGAAATTTCCACAACAATTTTATTTCAGGGATAGAAATGTTGGTTTCAAATCGTAACCTCTGGGGTTGTAGTGGGTGGTCCATAGTAGGTTGTGGGCTTTGGAAGCTTATAAATGATTATTCATACTTGACTGTTAAACTCAATAGGAAAGTGTAGTATTCAGTATTGTGACATCAAGTGAAGTGGGACGGCCTGTAATGACTGTAGGGCAATAGTCTTGGTAGGTCCTAGAAAGCATCACCCCAATAGTGATGATGAATCCATACGTACATATCTTACTTTGATACTTGCCTTGTGGTCACTTTAATCAAGTCCTATCCCAATCCCTCCCATCCCAAGCAGCCCATGTGCCTTGTATCCCAGGTTGACAGTTTGCAGTATTTCGTGCTGTTTTGGTTTTATTTTTGGTAGAGTTTATTCAGTCAGTATAACCATGTTTGTTTTCCTGTGTGCTGTTTCTTGTCAGTGGTTCATCCATCACATGCCATTGTGTGGGTGAACCACAAATTATTCACGTGCCCATCTGTTGATGGCTATGTGTGTGGTTTCCAGTTTTGACCCTGAGAAACAAAGCTGCTATGATCATCCCTGTACTGATGTTTGTATGGATACAGGCTGGGGAAAATACTTCAGTGTGAAATTGCTGGATCACATGGCTGGTACATGCTGAACTTAAAAATTGTTAAGCTGGCTTTTGAAGTGGTTGTTTAAAGCAGAGTTTGAGATTTCTTATTTTTCCATTGAAGATTGTTAAACTTTACAGGTGACTTCCCTTTGACCTACTGCTTCTGGCCTGGCTCCACCTTCCATAAGCCCCTCGTGGGAGCATATGAGGCTCTTGAGGGACTTACCAGATCTGAACCATAACAGTCTGACCCCTGGCCCCCAAGACTTATGTACATGTCTTTACACAAAATGCATTTATTCCATCTCTCAGTGCTGGCAAAGTCTTAACATTTCCAGCATTGCTGAAAAGTCCAAGTCCAAAGTATCCTCTGAGACTTAAGGAAAACTTGTATCTGTGAGCCCCCGTAAAAATGAAAAAAAAAAAAAAAAAGTTGAACACTTCCAATACACAATGGCAAATGCAAACATTGTCATCTCAAAAGGGAGGAATGGGGTAGAAACCATAGGGACCAAAGTATAATGAAATCCCAGCAAAGGAAACATTCAATCCTATAGCTTCATGTCCAGCACTGGAGGTAGAGATGTGAACTCCAAATGATGGCCCTGTTCCCCAGGCATTGCAGGTGGTCACTATTATGTCCCTCTTGGGGTGGCTAGGTCACTGCTTGCCATTTTACTTAACCAATGTTTCCTGTTCTTGGCATCTCCAACTTTTTAAGATGTCCACTGTTGCACGGATTCACTCTTACAGTTTCATGAACCTCACTCCCATCCCTGTCAGCTTGAACTACATAGTGAGACCCTGTCTAAAACCTTCCCAAAAAAGAAATTTTGCATTCAAATAATATACTATGTAATATTATAGCCCTAGAATTAAATCTGTGCAAACCTTTTTTCGGGTTTTAATTCTTTTATTGGTACATTTTAGGTATACAATACATTTACATTTACCATTGGGTGCTTGTACCTGTACATGATGTATCTTGGTTCTTGTTTTTTTCGCCATTACCTGTGCGCCCTTCACCCCCTCCACCCTTCCCTGTTTACATAGATTTCATTTCCATTTTTTTTCTCTACTCAAAATTTTTCCTTTCCCTTCTTTCCTTCCCCCTTCCCCTCCCACCACCCCTACACCTTTGGACCTTTTCCTATTTCAAATTATCAATTATTCATTTTAATTATTTTAATCCTTATTGACACTTTCAGTTTCTCATACTAGAGAAACTATTCGATATTTACACGTGTGTCCTATTTCTTTCACTTAAGAATATGGCCTCAATATGCATCCATTTAGCTATAAATAACTCTAGTTTCTCATTCTTTGTGGCTGAGTAGTACACCATTTGATTAAAAAACCCCATATCTTCTTTATCCAGTTTCTAGTTGATGGGCACTTGGGTTGTTTCCAAGATTTAGCTATTGCGGACTGTGCTGTTATAAACATGGGTGCACATGTATAGCTGTGGTATGATTCTTTTAATTTTTTTTGGAAGATACCCAGCAGGGGAATAGCTGGGTCAAATGGGATCTCTAGTCCTAGTTCTTTGAGGTATCTCCATACTGATTTCCACAGTGGTTGCACCGG